CAGGAAGGCATTTCCCGGCGCTTTTCCTCCTTCCGCCCGCTTTTCCTTTGCCCAGCCAGCAGCATCTCATTTCCCGTTCGGTTCGCTTTCGGGTCACTTCTTCTCCGCCGTCAATAGGCATTTGGCTATTGAAACTTTTCCAGCCAGAAACCCGCACGCACACAGGCCACAGATAATATGCACATGTGTTGCCATGTTTCCATGGCCATGGAGCTCATATCCCACTTCTTGGGAACAGAGAACTTGGAACTGGGAACCGACTCCCGTCACTCTGGGCCATAAATATCCGCCTAAATATGCTGGTCAGGCCGTCTGAGATGGCTGCCTTAGGCCAAAATCTGTCTTAATATGTGCGATGTGTTGTCTGCGCTGTCTGTTCCTTTATATATATATGGTATTTCTATGTCGAGTGGGAGTGTGATTGTGTGTTTGCGGGATTTATGTTTGGGGCCAAGTTGTAAGCGCCAATGTTTTTTATGTCGAACTTAAAGACATCCTAAGTACTTTCTGTGCACTTCGCGCTCTAGCTGATTTTTTGTCTTATGGCAGAGAGAAAAATGGTAACGATTTATATATTAATTCGATATTAATTCAGACTTAAGATTGTTAATAAATAAATATGCGTACATTACAAACTAAATAAAATACAAAAATGATTTTATTGAAATGTAACTATAAGTAATCATATGTAGGTATGTATTATTTTAAACATTTTTGAAAAAACATTTATGGTTTCCGATAAGAAAAATAAATATTAAAAGTTTTTGGGATTGATTTAAAAGTAAATAAATGAAAAAATGATTCTCCTCCTCATGATATACTTAAATTAAGTATCAAGCATTATGAATTTAGACCTTAGGTTATGGGCATTGTGATGAATTGTTTACGGTCTTGGTTTTACCGTATAAAAACTCATGTTAGAAATGAATTCTTTGGAAAATTCTCACTAACTTCTTAATTTCCTTGCCAAATTAAATTTACTTAAAAATTGGAGATTCATAAAATAAATTTTAGCTAAGAATATTTAGATTGATTTTGTAACCCAAAACTCCTTTTGACTTTTTCCGGTGTACCAAATCACCCCCGCCCCGTCTTGGCCCCAAACAGCAGCTGCTCCTTGTTGTTGCCAATCCTGCCCTGTTGTTGGCATTATTTCTGGTGGCACTTGAAGTCTGCTTGTGGGATGGCTCCAGGGCGTTCAACTTGCTCCCGTCTTGGCCTCCTCGATGTCATCCTTGTTTGTTGTTCTTGGCAACTGTTTTGCTTGTGTTTTATGGTCAGTTCTAATGTGCTCCTTCGCCTGCTGCTACTGCTGCTGAAGTACTTAGTGTTAATAAACTTTTATAAATATTCTCTTTGACACTTTTAGCACGAAATAAAACTGACAAATAAATCTGATTAATCATTGCACTTTGCGCTTTGTAATGGCACTTTATCGTATTTTATTTTACCTACTTGTGAGTCCGACACGTGCTCATTTCCAAGATAATTTTCGGCTGAGCTGGGAACTTTTAGTGGGCCAATCCATCAAGTTTAGGGGTTCCGGGAATAGTCCTACAGTAAATTCGGAATATTTTTTGATTGCCATCAAATTCAATTGGTCTTGCCCGCCGGTTTGCTAGTTTATTGTATTCGAAGGCGTGGTTATTGGCTTCAGTTGAGCGGCTTTATTACACGGTTGTCCATAGATATATATCGGGAGCATTTCAATGGCTGTTTGCCAAACAAAATTGTTTGATAAGAAAACCGTTGCAAGGGGTTTTGAGAGGGGGGCCATGAACCCCTTCCAACGTCCAACGTACTCATCAAATGCAATGAAAAAATCCGAGTGCAGACGGGAACCCAATTGGAGCTGCATCCTTCTCCCCGGCGAACAATTCTAGGCAAATACAATTTTGAACGCATCACAACACGCAAACACAATCACAAATGGGTGAGGGTTACGGGGGAGATGGTGTTGGTTTTTTTGGGTGGTTCGGAACGGAAAGCGGGTCCGGTGGCCAACGGAAAATGGAGTGTCGGAGCAGCACTTGGCGATTGTCCGTCAGCCTGTCCCTTTGCCATTCCCCAACTACATAGTACATACTGGCCATTGATATGCGCCGCGGTTTTTTTGCAAGAGGTATTGGGGGGAGATGAGGGGTATATTGGACTCTTATCAGAATAGGTGATTGCATAAAATGGCACACTAAAATGCAACTAAGTACGAAAAACACTGTTTATATATAAGTGCATTGAAGAGTACATTGATATAAATATTTCAGCAGCTTAAGAAAAAATAAAGTAAACAGATCAGTATTCAGAACTTAATTAAAAATGAGTTATTTTTGAATATTTTAATAAATAGCTGTATAAGATTTAACTTCAATAAAGTAATTTGTGTGCAAGTTTAAGAAAGATCTTTTATTTTTGTTGAACAAAAAATATAATATTATTTGAATAAATGGACTAGAACACGCGTTTAGTTGATTCTTAGCTCTTGAATTGTGTTTTAAAGTACTAAAAATAGACGAAAACTAAGCACAGCTATGTGGAAATATACTCCTAGAAATGGTTAGCAAAAATTATATGAAAAATATAATATTTGTTTTAGGAATAAATGTTATATTTTCCATTTTATAAACTAGGTTAAGCAAGAACAATGCCTTTTCAGGGCCATAAACATTGTTTTTAATAGAAGACAAATAAAATTGGGTATTTCATAGCGGGTACACTCCTAATATCCTCTTCAGCTGTCTCTTTCTCCTTCGCCTCTCCCTCTTTCTCTCTCTGTTTCTCGTCCTGCAACTCCGTTTCTGTTCGCAGCGACGCGAAGAGGTCACACTTAATTTCCGCTCCCAGCCGTAGCATACTTTTTTGGGGCTGTTGCTCCTGCTGCCTCTGCCGCTGCCGCTGCTGTCATTGTTGATGCAGCCCTGTGCTTGGTCCTGTCAGTTGCGCTGAACTTTCAACATCCGCTTTTCATTTACACACACAGACACACACACGCGCACGCACGCAGACACGCACGCTCTTTGGCCTGTGTCCCGCTCTTCATCTTGTTGTTGCTGGCAACATCTGTTGATTATTTTGGCGCTGCCTTCGTTTTTTTGCACTTCACAATGCAGCGCCGTGTGAGTGTGTGTGTGGCTTGTTTATCGCTCACACACACACACAGGCACATGACACAAGGTGGCTCAAAGTTTTTTGTGTTTTCATTGCTTCTTTTTGTGTTCTTTGGTGCTTCCCTTTTTTGCATTTCTCCTCTCACATACACACACAGAGACATGTCAGCGGCAAAATTGATTATGAAATGATTTATTGGCCTCAAAAACTGCTTCAATATTGATTAAAGTTACTGTGTCTCCCTCTCGGTTTTCCTCGCTTTTCCTCGCTTTTCGTGTCCTTTATTTTTTTTACCCGTTTGTGGCCATTTCCGAGGCGCGGAGGACCATGCGGCGTATGCGTAACGTTTGTCATGGCATTTTATTACCGCCCTTTTTTTTGCGGCCCAGCGTTTAAATGCATTTTTGCAAGCTACCAAATATCCGCTGCTCAAAAATAAAACATTTCGATACATTTACTGCATGTATTTTTCAACAAAGCTCATATTCGCGGGTTAGAGAAATGCATATTTGTTGGTCGGCAAGAAAATGCGGTGAAAAAAATTCTATAAAATATATCTTTTGTGTCGCAGCATTCACGAATTTGCACAGATGAATTGAGTGTGTATTGCTTTTAATAAAGGGATTATTTATCCGGGCTTAAATCGGTTAATTAACGCAAGCATTGTTATGAATAAAAATTGAACCATTAGTGGCTTAAATGTTTTTTAAAATTCGAGCCTTCGTGGATTGATTGGATATTTAGTTACTTTTGTACCTTTACATAATGGGATTCCTTTGATTGTAAAGGTTTTATTTATTGTAAAAAAATATTTTATATATTTTGAATATTCACTGTTTGTTTTGCAATTAGTCTACATTCTTGTTCGATTATAAAAGCTTGGTAAAATCAACTATGTGTGACCTAATTTTTTGTGAACAAAAAACTGGTTTTTATACGTGTAGAGCGTAAAAATATTTTATGTAAGATAATAACTATATATTTATAAAGTGACCTATTTAAAGATACATTTTTCTGAGATTTTGATTTGTGGCAAACAATGGTGAGTTATAATCTTCTTTGAAATATAAGGAAAGGTACAAATCTTCACTAGAGTATGTTGTACTTCGGTCACTTTTTGAAAACCCCCTGATTTTTTTTTAAGATTTGCTTTGTAACACTGAATTTTTTATATATATGATATTTCATAGACATGGTTGTTGCTGTCGTTGGTCCTGTTTTTGTGTTTTTGCCGTTCGTCCTGTCAGCAGTTGTCAACACAAAAAGGTGCGCAGCTCACGCCAATCCAAACAGGTGTGAGCCCCGGTGATTGGATGCTTTGTGGGGAGTCGTCTGGAATGGGGCTAGTGGATCTGTCAGTTGGGTTTTGTTTCAACACATTTGGACCGTTAAATCATTCATGTTGATTTAATTATTTTACGTTGTTGATTCAATAATTTTTTATTTGATTTATTTATTTATTTACACGTTGGCACGTTTGAGGCGAAAATTTTGTTGTTACTACGGCTGCTGTTATTTCGTGAGTCGCTTTAAATGACATCATCAATCAATCACGTCACTTATGACAGCCATCGTACAGTACTATATAGTATATACATAAAGTTTCAAATTTGTAATGAGAGAAAAAAAACCAATCTGCATTGCAAATTGCAGTGAAATTAAAATTACATTTCGCCGCGTTCTGATTAGGGCGATGAATTATTGTTGACTTCTGGTCAAATGAGTAATGGTTTAATAATTATGTGCAACAAAATAAAATACGGCATATGAAAATTAACTTTGAGTGGTAGGACTGAAATTAATATATATGTAAACAAGAATTTTTTGTTCTATTACTTGATTAAAGTTTTAACTGGGGTAAAACTAAAATATTTCCATTTCCCCATTTTTTGCAGCTCGCTCTCTCTGGAAACTCTGTGTTTTTCGGGTAAGCATTAAAATAAAAAATTCAATATTCGCTTTTTCAAAAGTTTTCCGGCCAAGTGGTGGCGGAAAATGGGCCACGGATAATGCCAAAAACGGCGTCTGCTGATTAAGAGTGCAGGGCGTGAAATGCAGCTCACGATAAATTTAAATGATTTCCATCGAGGCAGAAACCCAAATGGCACTTGCTCAGCTCGGCTTTCCATTGTTGTCCCAGTTGTTTTTGTTGGTTTTGATGCTGCTGCTGGCTGGCAGCGCCTTTTGGATTTATTATTATGATTTGAAAGTGCATAAACCACTTGAAGGCGATTCGGATTCGGAGCAGCGCATTTCGCTGCATAATTGGCACAATCAGCCAAAGGCAAGCGCGATAAAATCCGCGAGCCCCTCGAATCACCCACTCAAAAGACAGTGGCGTAAGCAGCCACAGCCCTTGGGGGATTGGACGAAATTATGGTTTAAATTACATCTTGAAGTTAAATATTGTTGTATATTAAACAATAAGGTTTGTGTATGGCTTTCATAAATGATACCAAATTTTAAACAATTGAAAATAAAGATTTTTGAGAGACTTATGAACATATTTCCGAATAAAGTATGAATAAATCCCAGTATTCGTTTTTTAAAAATATAAAAATTGATCAATAACATAATAATAAAATAGCTTTTAAAAGGCAAGTAAATCAGCAATCTGTTATAATATTATTATTCAATCCCCTGCTAAAAATTGTGACTACTCCACTGCCAGATCCTTTTAAAACTTGAAGTTGTCCGCTTGGTGCTGAGCTGAGCTCTTGTGGGGTCGTTCTATTTTTTTTTTGCTGCCTGTGTTGATTTTCCAACCTTTTAATTAAGTGACAGGACGAGGGCAAGGCGTCAGTTCAGCTCAAGTTCCAGCTGCATTATAATGACGTAGGGCCACGAAAGTGGGGGCGCCGCATCGAGACTTTAGTCCGCAAACAAATCGCTGGCAAGACAAACAAACAAAGAAACAAGCAAACAAACGAACAAACAGACTGAGGACCCGGGCAGACAGTGATTGAAAGAAGTCTACACACGTGCGCACAGGTGCCCATCGCTGGTGCTCATTAAAATGCAACTGTGTGCGGTAATGGCCAAAAAGGCAAACGTGCAATAAAAGCAGCCCCAGAAAAAACAGCAGTGGAAATGCTGGAAGAGCGTAGAACATAGCATAGAAATACATTTCGCTTTATGCAAATGCATAAAAAATACCACAGACCAAGTGGAGGCAAATAAACGAGGCGGCAGTAGCGCCAAAAACAAAAAACCAAAAAAAAAAAAAAAAAAGAAGAAAAACCCAGCCAAATGGAGCAATGCGGGAGTATATCAAAAATCCATGTCGGCATCTATCTGCTCCTGCTTTCAGTGGCGTCTGCCTGGAATGGAAATTGCAGGATCTGCTGCTGATTTTGCTCCTGCTGCGCGTGTTTTTTCAGTAAAAACGCGCCAAATAAATCTAAAAAGTTTTAAAACCAAAAACACAAGGAAAGATATTTGCGGAAAAAGTTGAAGAAATTGTGAATACCTCTTATTTTTCTAAAGAAAACTATGTAAACTTTTCATCTTCCTTTTAAGGAAAATATGTTATGGGAAAATCAACAAAATCTATGATTAGATTCAAGATGTTAATTGGTTTTTATTTTATGCCCCACTTTCTACCCTGAGTAAGAAGAGCATCCCCTAATTATCTAATTACAAGTTCATCTTACCCTTCCCCACAATTGTCCCCCAAAATATTAACTTTAAGGAATATTCAACAACTTAATTTCGCCTGCAGGTGTGAATCGCAAAATACATAATCCAAATACACAACGATAATTATCAATGCCCTTTGATAGACTTAATATGAAGTGCTGAAAAGGGGTTTGCGTTAATCCGAATATCTCAAAGGGCCCCAGGCCAAAGTGTGAATATTTTTCGTTGTTTTTCAAATTTTACGCTCGACTGAGGGAAGACCAACGAATTGGAGTCTCAAAAGTGCCAAGGGCACAAATTAAACAAGTATTTCTGGAGCAAAGTTGGAGTGAGACTTTCCCCAAACGAAGTTAGTTGTTCAGACTTAAATTGGTTTGAAATTAGAAGCGTGTTCGTTTGCTTAAGTGCCCCTCGTCGTATCCATTTGCTCGATGAAATGCTGGGCTAATCAGGCGAACAGCTGATGGCCTAGGGGGTCGGGGCCAAAAACGCTTTGGGTCAGACAAACATCAATAAATTAGAAAATGAATAAATAAATAAGCTTCGAGCTGGGCCCCCAACGCACATACTGCAGTGTGGGGGCGATAAATAAATCACCACAATAAATCTTTGGCACGCAGTTGGAAGCGTTTTGCGGGTGACCCACCTCATCTACAAACTCAACCTCCCATGGCCATGGCACATTTTTCCGCTTGTAACTATAAATATATTTATGCATGCATGGCATAAGTTTGTCCGGAGTGGATGAGCTGCTCCTCCGGATGCGCCTCCATTGAAATCCTCGCAAGCTGCAGAGGGGCAAACTTTAAGCAACTTTGGGGCAACCGCAGCACCGCACTCAATAGACGACAACTGCCAGTGGGACAATGTTGGGGCGGGAAAATCGCATTAATTTCACAAATTTGACTGGCAAAAGTTTGAGCCGGCATCAGGCACTTGAAGTTAAACGCCATTTAAAGACAAAAGGATACACTTCAGAGGCGGAACAGAAGGCTCAATAGCCAACATTTGATACGGGGTGATTTGCCTTTGTCGCCAGTGACGTTAAAAGTTTTAAATGGATCCTTTATACCAGGGTACAGGATTTGGTGTGAAGGGTTTTTGAAAGAAATAGGTTTTTTGCAAGCTTCTTAAATACTTTCACCATAGTCGGGGTGATCCTTCATTATATATGTAGACTCTTTTTTAAGTGAGACATCGGAGTTATTATAAATTCCTTATAAATACCCTAATAATAAATTAAATGTGCTAATAATAATTTCTTAAATTTCAATTCCCAAAGAAAGTTATGTAATCCTTCTTACTTAAATATATTTAATTACTTTAAGTTTCTGACATGAAATTTCTGTATTTAGTGATTTTGAAGTTCTACAAAATTATGTTCTAATAATTTATTTAAAACCCCAACCATTTTGAAGGCAGCTTCTTAATCAAGTTTGCAGCCTATTAAAAAAAAAATAAGCTGAAGTTAAAAATTCAAAAGCAAGGCTTTAGTTGAGCAGGAATCTTCTCAGTCGATTCATGTCCATACTTATATTCTTATACCCATTTACCTTCGCCACACTTTGTACGGACTTTAAAAATAGAAAATGAAAAGAGCTCGCAATTTATGAAATAAATTCCAGTTGGACTTAAGAAATTTGCGGCTGCTATTTTTAAATCTCAAAGCCAAATTAGCCTTCTTGTTGCCTGTCAATAAAAAGCCATGTTCAATTTATTTTGCTAACAATTTATTCATATTTCTAATGGATCTTTCAAGCCTTCTGGCCCGAAGCAAGAGCAAATAAATATGCTGCACCGACTTGCTTTTAAATGTTCTTGTAGTTTTTTCTTCTTCTATTTATTTTCTTTTTTCTTATAAATTTACACTTTTGGTACGGATTTTCTTTTCTGTTAAATCATGCTGCTTGAAGAGTTTTTCCTTGGCAACGACAAGGCTTTTTGTTGGCAGCAGTCAAGCCGCAGCCATTAGCTTAATTTGTTTAATTAATGAATTTGCTGAAACTTGTTCCCTGATTTTAGTCTTCCCTTTTCCTTCTTTTTTACCCACTCAGTGTGTGTGTGTGAGTATTTGCAAAGGCGTTTAAACGGGAATTCGTCTTCTCAAGTAGGCACACACATATACCCAAAATTAAGGAAATTAATCATACGCACTGTGTGCCCATAGGAGTGCGAGGAAGAAAGGGCCAACTCCCAGTCGACTGCACAGTAAATTTTGTATTTTCCACATTTACTCGTTGAATATGCACTCAATTGGAATTTATGTGATTTGTGTGCTCAAGGACCTGTTTGGGTTATCAACAACACGGCAGGCTGTGCTCCTCCTGCTCTGGAAATCCTTTTGCCTGGTCCATGACTTTGGACTTTTGGCTTATACGCTCATAGATACTATATATATTTAGATACTCGTATATGTATGTATGCATAAAGTCTGTTTTCGGTCTTTTAATTAGCAGAACCCTGAATGTCTGGGTGTGTGCGCAAAGTTTTGGGGCATTTTAATATTGTCATCATCATCATAATTGAAATAAAGCAACATAGCTCCTCCAGGCATAAAGAGCTCCCTGCTCTCCTTCTTCTAAGGGCGTGACCCAAACTCTTTTCGGTTTCTCGTTTATACATTTTGTGTTCTACTTTTTCACAACTTGTTGGGTGTTTCACCGCTCTTTTTTTTTTGTTTTTGGTGAGTCGGGGTTTTTGGTTTTTCGTTTTTATTTTTACGCCACTTTGTGTGCTACTTTTTGGCCCAGAAAGTGTGTTGCCCTGCGTTTACCTTTATAAGCGGCTTTTGGCCAATTTGCAGGGGTACGAGGACGGCGGTTACAACGTGCGTGGGAGTTTCCCACCCTTTTGGCGGCAATTTTCGGTCGGTTGTCGTCGGTTACGGTTGCCGGTTATCATTTATGGCTTACACATTTGCCTAGACTTTGTTTTGTTATTGCAATTAGTCAGCAGGCATAATGAAGTTGGCTAATTGTAGGGCCGCCGATATGGGCAACGGGCCCTAAAATCATTTACGGTTAGCCATAAAGCAATTACCCAAAGCGCCTTTTAAGCCGGAAAAACAAATGTGTATGTGGAACAATATATGACCGAAACGTAATCCGGGTTTCGGGTAGGGGTATTTAAGTTATAGAGATAATAGGAAACAGAACATTTTTTAAAGTTTCTTGAATTGAATTTCATTAATTTATTAAGCGTACACTAAAAATGATTTTAGTTTATTTTATCTCCATAAAATTTTATCAGAAGTCCAGTTCTATGGCTATAATCTTGACCTTCTTTCAA